CAGTGGTCAAGAATAGTAGATGCTCTTGTAGAGGTCCCAAGTGTGTTTCCCAACACCCACATGGAGCTCACAACCATCTGCAGCTGGAGTTACTTGGGATCTAATGCTATTTCCTGGCTCCATGGGCACAAGACTTACAAATGGTGCAAAGTCATAAATGTAGATAAAACACCAAAACACATACACCAACAAGCAAATTGACTCTTGTACTATTGCCTGGTCTAGCCCTGAAACCCTAAGCTCATTTGCCTTCCTGCCTCAGCAACTTGAGTGGCAGAAACTACAGGAGTGTGGCACCATGCCCTGCTTCTGGTTAATCAATCTTGTATTGGTTTATTGCTTATTTCAATCTCCTCCTCTGTGTATTGTACACTCATATTACTGACTCATTTTGCTATTGGGTTATGTTTCCTTGTTGATTTTAGTATATATTATTGATATATTCAGGTACTATTTTTTCTTCATTATATGTGTAAACAATATAACTTTTCAAATTGAGGTTCATCATGTAATAAAATGAAGTTATTTACAATCTCTGGTTTTTTTATTCCTTGTTTAAGAATTCCTTTCTTGATGGGTGTAGTGGCGCATGCCTATAATCCCAGCTCTCTGAAGGCGGTGGCAAGAGGATCTCTATTAGAGACTAGCACATTTTACATAGCAAATTTCAGCCAGAGCTGCCTAGCAAGATCAAATTCCAAGGAACAGGCAGAAAAGAGAGAGTGAACAATTGATCAGATAATCTCAGATACTCAGAAACCTATATAAGAGGATCAACTGCAATTTCAAGACTAGCCTGGGTTATATAGTGAGATCCTGTCTCAAGAAAGGTGGTGGGGAGGGGCTAGGCAGAGGACTTAGGGGCTAAAAGTATGTACTGTCTTGTAGAGGACCCAAACTTGATTCTCTGAATCCATGCCCAACAACTCACAACTGCCTGTAACTCCAGCTCCAAGGGATCTAATGCCCTTGCAGGACTCCACAGACTTCCACACTCACGTGCACATACACACAAACACAGACTTGATATACATAATTTAAAAAATAAATAAATCTTTTAAATGGGGGTATGTGATTCAGTGGTAGCATGGGTAAGGACCAAATCCAATCCCTAGCACTGCAAAAGCCAGGGTCCAGAATGAGAATTCCTTTCCTGGAGTGAGATACAAAATATGCTAATTTATTAGGGATTCTAAACTTTAACCTACCTAGAAATTATTGAGGTAATTATGCATTATAGGAATCCAATATTCAACTTGGGTTTTTTTAGATGTATTTATTTATTGTACATTGGGGTTTTGCCTGCATGTATGTCTGTATGAAGGTATCGGATCCGCTGGAACTGGAGTTAGAGACAGTTGTGAACTGCCATATGGGTGCTGGGAATTGAACCCAGGTCCTTTGGAAGAGCAGCCCGTGCTTGCTTTTAACCACTGAGCCAATATTCAACTTGTATCATAGAAATTTTCAAAAATATACAACAGCAGACAAAGGAAGAATGAAATACAGAGAAAACTTGCAGTTCACCGATATAGCACTATACAGGGTATACAGGAGACCCCATGTTCTGTCTCTAGCTCTGAAAAAAAAAAAAAAGAGAAAAAGGAAGAAGAAAGGAAAAAAAGAACAAGCTCTGTAACAGGACCCTAGACCTTAGCACAACTGACTCCATGATGACCATAGAACTCAGTATTGTAGACAGCACTACCTACTAAAGAGATCCTGTCTCATGAACAAACAAACAAACAAATAGAACAGAAAAGTTAGTGGACATTTACAAACAGGACATGGCCATGACCCGGTTCAGGTTCACTTCCATCTTTTCTTTACAAATTGTAGTGTCTAAGACTCTTCAGCCTGATTTGGGCCCTTTTGCTCTGGCCAGGTAAAAATTATGAGTCAGCAAAGAGAACCTGTTCCGGTGCTGTGCCTCATGGACCCTTGAGTGTCACATTCTAGGGGATGGATTGTCAGACCCCGAAGCTTACAGCTGCAAGTGTGAGAGCCAGAGGCCCATTACTCCAAGCCTCAGAAGCCAGAGATTTAGTGTTCCAGGCCCTCAGGTGGGAGGTTTACTGTCTGGGCTTTGAGCGCCTGGTGGTCCCAGCACCTGGCAGTTATTACAGTCCTCCCTCCCAGCAGAGGAAGCGGACAGCAGCTAGGTATCAGCTAGGTAGCAGATGGTGCCTTCTGTTGTTACAGTCCTCACACAGACACCAGCTAAAAGCACCCTGAGCCCACAGGGGCAGGTATTAGAGTTCTCAAATATAGGGTATCAGAGTTCCCAGCCCTTGGCAGTGGCTGCCTTTCTAACCGTCAGGCCCAGTGGATTCCAGGCACTTGGCTCACACAGTTTATCAGATAGACCCTTGGACTTCAGAGATCAGAACTACTCAGCTTTTTGTTTTCTGTACGTAAATATTTTTTTTTTAAGAAAAAAAACAAATGACAGCAAACGCACTGCTGGTGGGAGTGTAAATTGGTGCAACCAGTGTGGGAACCACCCTAGTGCTATCTTAAGAACTGCTCATGAGCATATACCCAAATCACTCTGGCCAGAGAAGAAGCAGGCACTCATGGAGAATCCACAGGCCACTCCTGCTAGGGAAGCTGGTAGGTTGAATGGAGATCCTCGCCTCTCCCTACACTCCTCCAAATCCACCCTCCAGTCTCACCCCCAGCTCTGTAGCAGGCCTTCTGCTGTGCCTTCTCCTCACTCTCTGCTCCCATTTCCAGGACACTGACTAAACAGATCCTGGTGGGAAACCCTGCTCCCTCGCTCTTACAAAGCCCCTCCACTGCCCACAGTCCATCCCCGTTTCTAAGTCTCAGGTCCCAGGAACACATTTACCTGGAACCTTCAAGTGGCTACCCCTCTCAAGGTTCCCAAAGATTTTCCTCCAAGCAACCGTACACAGCCACCATACTTTCCTACAAACTAGAGGAAACCAAGGGACGAAGCACCCATCCAACAGATAAAAACAGGTAGCAGCACCTAGATTCGCAGTTTTCCCAATTCTAGGAGCCTGGATGCCAGAAACAGCCAGGACAATACGTCTGGGATGTGTCTGAATCCAGCAACCCTATCACAGAAGGTCCTGAATGTGCCAACATATTTGAAGCATAAATAAAAGTCCTTAAGACAGCCTTTATGAGTATAATAAAGGGCCTTTATGATGACTATTCTTGGTTGTCAACTTGACTGTATCTGGAGTGAACAACAATTCAGAAATGGGGGGCACACCTGTGACTTATTGTCTGCTTGGTTTGAAGTAGGTGAGTCCACTTCTAGTCCAGACCTTTGAGGTACGAAGACACACCTTTAATCTGAGCCACACTTTGTGCTGGAAACCTATATAAGGACTATATATTCCTTTTGCCTGCTTGTCCTCACCTTGCTAGTACATCCATTCATTCCTTCACAGGCTTTAGGGCCTATTTCTTTGGGATTCCATCATATACAGAAGACCATCTGGTTTGGACAACTACTAGATTCTCAGGCTTTCCATTCACAGTTAGTCATTCTTGGATTAGCTAGACTGCAGCCTGTAAGTCATTCCAATAAATTCATGTGTGCGCAGGTCTCTCTCTCTCTCTCTCTCTCTCTCTCTCTCT